AGTGGGGACTACACCTGGGAACCGAAAAGAACTACAACGCGTGGAAAATCTTCGACGTCCATTCCAAGGAAACAGTAGCAGCACGTGATGTAATTTTCTACGAACAACTCACGCTCCAGACATACCTTGCCAACCTGCAAGAAGACCAGGATCCCACAGGTGGTTTTCGCGGTGACCGAGCCTTCGCCCCAGCAGCGGACGAAGCTGACTGGGACGAGCAGAATGCGGACAACGCATCAGAAGAAGCCGGACCTCTTCCGTTCTGCTCCGTCGACGTTCCCATGGACGAAGATAACCCTCGCGAAAGTGTCAACGCCGAAACCTTCTACTATTTCGCCGACAACGGTTACGTAACACCTGCGACAGTCAACACCAACGAAGCAGAACGAGTAGGACCCAACTTCATACCTGATCCAGAAGCGGGAGATGAAGCAGCTTATCCCGAGGACGCAAATCTTCCCCGCTACTCACAGAGTGGACTGCAAATTCTCGGACTCGTCACCGCAGTCCACGGCACCGCCATTCCTAAAGAGCCTGCGACGGTTCAACATGCTCTGGGGGGGGAGCATAAGGAAAAATGGCGCGAAGCCATGGACAAGGAGCTGAAGGCACTGGAGGAACGCAACACGTGGAAAGTGGTTCCTATCGGCGTGGCACGGAACAAGACAGTGCTCACCGGGAAGTGGGTCTTCCGTGTGAAGACAAAGGCTGACGGCACCATTGACAAATTTAAAGCTCGCTGGGTTGTACGCGGCTTCGACCAAGAACACGGACGCGACTTCACCGAAACTTTCGCTCCGGTTAGCCGCCACACCTCACTACGCATTCTCCTCGCAATCGCCGCCATGAAGAAGAAGAAGCTGCGACAAATTGACGTCGCGAACGCGTTTCTCTACGCTCCTGTTGATGCAGAAATTTTCGTCGAGCTACCGCACGGCTCCCACAGAGAACCCAACCAAGTCTGCCAGCTACTCAAGTCACTCTACGGACGCTCACAGTTTCATCTACCGTCACTCAGTACCTCGGCCTCAACATCCGGGAAGAGGAGGACGCGATCTACCTCAGCGCCGAGAAATATGCCGACACCATCGCCAAACGCTTTACGCTCACACCGACAGCCATCTCCACGCCATACCGCTACACAGCAGGGAACGACAAAGGAAGCTCCGCTCTACTCAAGCCTGCCGGCATACGAGACTACCAGAAGAAGCTGGGATGTCTTCTCTTCGCAGCCGTCACCTGTCGCCCCGACCTCTCATACTCCGCAAGCCAGCTCGCCACCTACCTCAAGAAGCCTGAAGCAGAACATCTGGCGGAGCTCGACCGCGCTCTTCACTACTTCGTCAGCACCCCAACGATCGGCCTAACTTACTACAAGAACGCAACCACACCGACTAAGTTAATCGGCTACGTCGACGCTGATCACGCTGGCGACTCCGACAATAGGCGCTCCCGCACCGGCTACATCTACCGCCTCGAACCTATCGGACCTATCTCTTGGCAGTCGAGCAAGCAGGAATTAATTGCTCTCTCGTCAGCTCAAGCAGAATATATTGCACTCTGCTCAGCCACCAAGGAAGGACTCTATCTTCGTGAGCTGCTGGAAGAAGCGAAGTTAGCCGAGTTACCCAACTTTACCCTGTTCTGCGACAACCAGTCGGCAATTCGCATCGCCAACAAGAACGGCTTCGCGAACAGGACGAAACACATCGCCCTGCGATATTTCTTCGTGAAGGACGAGATCGAGAAGGGAAGGCTCGAGCTGTCATACTGTCCCACGTCCGAGATGGCAGCTGACTACCTGACCAAGAAGCTCGGTAAGCAGAAGTTCGAATACTGCATGCTGCTGACTGGACAGAGCCACGTCAGCGACACTCCAGAAGCGAAGGGGAGTGTTGGAAACAATCGGTCCTAAGCGCCTCTGTCGTGTCGAAACACTAAGACACAAAAGAAACGAAGTATAACGAATCACCGTCGAGTCAACCCTCGGAGGTTGAAAGTAACTGTTGGAGGTTACGCGAAAGTCAAAGGTCAGCGACCCTTGACCTGACAAAGTACAGCGCGACAGCAAGGACAAACAACTGACTCGGTATTGAGCAGTTGCCCGAGTCGTCACTGTATCGAACCGCAACAGCAATAGTAAAACGGTTATTAACTGTATCTCTTCGTATTCCTTGTACTCTTATAAAAGCTTGTATCTCTTTGTTTTAATCAACTTACTTTGCCCTCACATACTAGCGCAAGGTGGTTCACAACTCTTTAATTAACGCTTCCGCTACTACACCAACTCTACCCTTAGGAATGAAAAACCCTTAGGATCTTTGCATGCAGTATTCGAACTTCTGTTGGGCTGAAAAACCCTTAGGATCTTTGCAGCCCAACATTATGTATTTTTTTCCTATGAGGAGACCCCCCCCATTTTTTCCCTGTATTTTTAGCTATAACCTAGGGTGTTATGTCCGGGAGAATACGGTAGAAGTCTCGTGGGCACATTTGCCTTCCGTTAAAAAAAGAAAACGTGAACATAAGCAATCCAACTACATTACTAGAACTCATTGACAGGGCCTCAGATTCGTTTTAGGGTACCCTGAGCACTCAGGGTCCCTTGGAGGTGTAACACTGATCTTCAGTGTTGCCTGCTTAGAAACACTGATTTTTCAGGGTTAGTAAAAAAAAAACACTGATCACACAGGGTGCCTTTTCAAAAAACACTGATAGAATAATTAAAGAAGGGGTGCAGGCCCGGTCGTGATGTGGAGAGCATGAATGAACGAGACCCCCTGCGGCATGGGTCGGCTGGTCGAACCGCACAACCACGCCCTTGCGTGGTGAATCTGATCTGATGCCACCATTCACCACTGGTCCACTCTGGATTTGTGCGCAGCGAGGCCAAGAATGACAAGTGTTGGCAGAAGTCAGAGTCAACGAAGCATTGAAACAATTGGAACAGCCAATCAAATAGCGCCTTTGCGCAAACACTGCCCAAAATTGAGCCGCAGGGTGGCGTCGATCCTCGTTGGGTACACCCTCTTTCTCACCTCTCTCACCGGCGGAAGCACTGGCTACAGTGTTTGGACGTAGCGGGCTGGTGAGATAAGTCGGTTGCGGGCAAAGTCGCACGAGGGTTTGAAACACGCCTTGGGCCGTTAAAAAGCATTAACGTTGAATAACCGTCCCGACCGCTTTGAAAACAACAGTACCATTGTAGAACGTAGAAAACCTTTACTAAACGCCCTGGGTCAAATTGTCACTGTAACGCATGTGATCGGACCTTCTTTGGTCCGGTGTGGCTACACTAAGCGTCTCTGTCAGTATAACATATGCCAGTCTATCGAGAAAAAGGGTGTACATGAATGATGACGGCGTGCCAATATGCAAGAAACACGGAGTTTCGGTTTCAGGGTCAACCCCGATACAACACTGACTCGTCAGTGTCTGCAAACACAAAACACTGAAAATTCAGTGTTCTACAAAATAAAACACTGATCCATCAGGGTCGCTAAAAAAAAAAGGCTGATCCATCAGGGTCGCAATAAAAAACAAGGGTCAAACTTCAGGAATTCAGGGTAAAATTCCTGACATCTGAGGCCCTGCTCATTGACCAGCACAAAGCTTCAACGTTCTTTACAATCAGTTAGCCGTTCGAGCACAGGTACATTGTGAGTCACGAGGTGGCTGTGTGCCAAGTGCTTTTTATCCAGCTTGAGGTTGTGGAGAGTTGAAGGTGGTGTGCAGTGTCACAACTGAGTGCAGTCCAAGCAGAGTCTGACTGTGCAGAGTGCTTGTGCTCTGGCTTAGTTCTGACAACAAATTTTTCCAGCTACGAGGTAATGTAAGTCAGGAAGCTCATGAAGAGCCCTGGTTGGTGGGACCCCTCTCGTTGTACACACACTCCTTTTGAGTGGACAAGTCAACCAGAGAAGTGTGAGAGCCGCAAGTCATGAGGCTGGCAGCGCCGCGTGCTTGTACTCTGGCTTGAGCTCGTACAGGCCCTGGTTGGGCCCTCTCTTGTTGTACACACACTGCAATTACTACTTCCAGTTTTCAACAGTGAGTTTGCACTTCAGCCACACAGTAGTGCCAAGTTAAGTAGCTGCTGGCGGCGCTGCGTGCTTGTATTCTGGCTTGAGCTCGTAGAGGCCTTGGTTGGGCCCTCTCTTGTTGTACACACACATGTCGCCCAACACCTCCTTGAGGAATTGCTGTGGGAGGGAGGGGAAGGGGAGGGAGAGTGGGTGGCAGCAAGGCAAGTGAATGACACAGGACACATAGACTCTTCTGGTGCACGCACATGTGGCCCACCGCCTCCTGTAGAGGAATCGCTGCGATGGGCAGGGTGAGGAGGGAGAGTGGGTGTGATTGCTGGCAGACACACATGATGAGGCAGACACACATGATGAGGCAGACACACATGATGAGGCAGACACACATGATGAGGCAGACACACATGATGAGGCAGACACACATGATGAGGCAGACACACATGATGAGGCAGACACACATGATGAGGCAGACACACATGATGAGGCAGACACACATGATGAGGCAGCACACATAGCCAGGACACACACAGGACACGTGGCGAGGGAGCACACATCATACACCCCCCTCCTTCCCCGCCGTGATCCCCTCACCTTTGAGAATTCTCAAAAGTGATTTCAATATCACCTGAGGCTGTTGTGTCATATCCGTGAGGTGCTTGAGCGTCCAGTGGGGGCGCTACACTGATGGTACTTCTGAGAATTCTCAACGTACCAACTTCGCATCTGTGCGGTGCTTGAGTGTCCAGTGGGGGCGCTCCTCAAACAGCGCAAACAGCTTTGCTTCCATCACACCACCCACACGCATGCATACCAACTCCAATCTGCTCCACTGCCCTCACCTGCGGCTGCTGAGTCGCGTCTGTGAGGTGCTTGAGTGTCCAATGCAATTGCTTCTCAAAGAGCGCAAACAGCTTCGCCTCCACCACCTACATGCGTGCGCACTCCAACCCAGCACCAATGCCCCTTCACCCCTCACCTGTGACTCCAATTTGATTGCCTTCACCCCTCACCTGTGGCTGCTGTGTCGCGTCTGTGAGGTGTTTGAGCGTCCAGTGCGGGCGCTCCTCAGAAGAACGAACAGCGTTGCCACCACATCTCCTGACATGCGCACCCGCTCCTACCCAGCTACCCCTTCACCCACTGCTACCCAGCTACCCCTTCACCCACTCCTACCCAGCTACCCCTTCACCCACTCCTACCCAGCTACCCCTTCACCCACTCCTACCCAGCTACCCCTTCACCCACTCCTACCCAGCTACCCCTTCACCCACTCCTACCCAGCTACCCCTTCACCCACTCCTACCCAGCTACCCCTTCACCCACTCCTACCCAGCTACCCCTTCACCCACTCCTACCCAGCTACCCCTTCACCCACTCCTACCCAGCTACCCCTTCACCCACTCCTACCCAGCTACCCCTTCACCCACTCCTACCTATCTACCCCTTCACCCCTCACCTGCGGCTGCTGAGTCGCGTTTGTGAGGTGTTTGAGCGTCCAGTGCGGGCGCTCCTCAGAAAGAGCGAATAGCGTTGCCACCACATCTCCTGACATGCGCACCCACTCCTACCCAGCTACCCCTTCACCCACTCCTACCCAGCTACCCCTTCACCCACTCCTACCCAGCTACCCCTTCACCCACTCCTACCCAGCTACCCCTTCACCCACTCCTACCCAGCTACCCCTTCACCCACTCCTACCCAGCTTCCCCTTCACCCACTCCTACCCAGCTACCCCTTCACCCACTCCTACCCAGCTACCCCTTCACCCACTCCTACCTAGCTACCCCTTCACCCCTCACCTGCGGCTGCTGTGTCGCGTCTGTGAGGTGCCTCAGCGTCCAGTGCGGGTGCTCCTCAAAGAGCGCGAAGAGCTTTGCCTCCACCACGTCTCGCAACATACACACACGCACTCCAGCCCACTCCAACAGCTTTACCTCCCCTAATTCCCTCACCTACTCCCCTCCCTCTTCTCACCTGTGGCTGCTGAGTCGCGTCTGTGAGGTGCTTCAGAGTCCAGTGCGGGCGCTCCTCAAACAGCGCAAACAGCTTTGCCTCCACCACATCTCGCGACATGCGCACTCGCTTGCTGTCCTTATCCGCTGCCCTCGCTGCTGCTGCCTGCTGCCATGCCGGTACTGTGCCTGCCTTGCGCTGGAGAGAAGTGGGGAAAGCGGGATGGGAGAATGGGGGGGATGGGGGGGATGGGGGGAATGGTGCCATGCCTGTCTTGTGCTGTAGAGAGATGCGGGGGCGGAGGAGAGGGTTGGGGGCAAGGCGCACAAAGGACCCCAACCCCAACCCAAGGCGCACAAAGGACCCCAACCCCAACCCAAGGCGCACAAAGGGTTGGGGGCAAGGCGCACAAAGGGTTGGGGGCAAGGCGCACAAAGGGTTGGGGGCAAGGCGCACAAAGGGTTGGGGGCAAGGTGCACAAAGGGTTGGGGGCAAGGCGCACAAAGGGTTGGGGGCAAGGCGCACAAAGGGTTGGGGGCAAGGTGTACAAAGGGTTGGGGGCAAGGTGCACAAAGGGTTGGGGGCAAGGTGCACAAAGGGTTGGGGGCAAGGTGCACAAAGGGTTGGGGGCAAGGTGCACAAAGGGTTGGGGGCAAGGTGCACAAAGGGTTGGGGGCAAGGCGCACAAAGGGTTGGGGGCAAGGTGCACAAAGGGTTGGGGGCAAGGTGCACAAAGGGTTGGGGGCAAGGTGCACAAAGGGTTGGGGGCAAGGTGCACAAAGGGTTGGGGGCAAGGTGCACAAAGGGTTGGGGGCAAGGTGCACAAAGGGTTGGGGGCAAGGTGCACAAAGGGTTGGGGGCAAGGCGCACAAAGGGTTGGGGGCAAGGCGCACAAAGGGTTGGGGGCAAGGTGCACAAAGGGTTGGGGGCAAGGTGCACAAAGGGTTGGGGGCAAGGTGCACAAAGGGTTGGGGGCAAGGTGCACAAAGGGTTGGGGGCAAGGCGCACAAAGGGTTGGGGGCAAGGCGCACAAAGGGTTGGGGGCAAGGTGCACAAAGGGTTGGGGGCAAGGTGCACAAAGGGTTGGGGGCAAGGCGCACAAAGGGTTGGGGGCAAGGTGCACAAAGGGTTGGGGGCAAGGCGCACAAAGGGTTGGGGGCAAGGTGCACAAAGGGTTGGGGGCAAGGTGCACAAAGGGTTGGGGGCAAGGCGCACAAAGGGTTGGGGGCAAGGTGCACAAAGGGTTGGGGGCAAGGCGCACAAAGGGTTGGGGGCAAGGTGCACAAAGGGTTGGGGGCAAGGCGCACAAAGGGTTGGGGGCAAGGTGCACAAAGGGTTGGGGGCAAGGCGCACAAAGGGTTGGGGGCAAGGTGCACAAAGGGTTGGGGGCAAGGTGCACAAAGGGTTGGGGGCAAGGTGCACAAAGGGTTGGGGGCAAGGCGCACAAAGGGTTGGGGGCAAGGCGCTCAAAGGCCCTGAATTCCCTGACCTCCGCACTGCTTGCTCTCCGTGCCTGCCTTGCGCCGGAGAGAAATAGGGTGGGGGAAGGGGGGTGTGAGAGGCTGCTGCTATGCTGGTGTGGTGCCACCTCACATTACCACTTCCCTCAAATCATCACCTTCTCATCATTATTGCTTCACTCACCTTGACGTTGGCTGATGACGGTCCCAGGGATGGGCAGGCACGGGCCAGAGGCACCCCTTACGGTGGAAGCTTAAAGCTTAAAGCTGTGTGAATCAAGCACTTAAAGCTGCCCTCACCTTGACCTTGGTGACGGTGCCAGGCATGGGCAGACTTTGCCCTGCCTGCCTGCCATTGCCTTGCTTTGATTCCTCCCCTTACAATATCTTTCTTACCATGCAGCCCTGTTGGGATACGCCCTCACATCACTGCTGCTCTCACCTTGACGTTGGTAATGGTGCCAGGCATGGGCAGCCGAGGCCCGGCACCTCTCATGGTGGAAGCATAAAGCTTAAAGCTGTGTGTGAAAGAAGCGCCCTCACATTATGGCTGCCCTTACCTTGACATTAGTGACGGTGCCAGGCATGGGCAGACGGGGACCAGCGGCACCTGATGGGTCCCACTTCTGTAGAGATAAGAGGAGGGGAGAGACGGGAAGGGAAGTAGGAAGAGAAGGAGGGGGAAGGGGGGCTGTGTGGGAGGCGGGAGGGAGAGAGAGGCATGGCAGCGTGTGCTCGCAGACGGGGACCAGCGGCAACCGATGGATCCCACTTCTGCAGAGAGGTAAGAGAGAGAGAGAGAGAGAGAGAGAGAGAGAGAGAGAGAGAGAGAGAGAGAGAGAGAGAGAGAGAGAGAGAGAGAGAGAGAGAGAGAGCGAGATTGGAAGCAGCAGCAGCGCCTCTCCCCCTGCTGGCCCAGATGGACCCCCAACTTGCCCTCCTCCTCCTCACCCGCTGTGTCAGCCGCCGAGCTTCCTTCCTGGCCAGAACCACCCCCCTAGAGGCCCTCCCTGAAGCCGAATGGTCCGCTTGGGGGGAACAACTCCTTCACACCTTCCTAGACTCGGCCCACATCATGAGGCCGAGGAGCGTCAGGGGAGGATTTGGCGGCAGGCGGCCCTGCCAGTGACTTTGGGAGGCCTGGGCATCACTGACCCCGCCGTTGAAGGCAGCTATGCCTACCTCGCCTCAGTGATCAGCACAGCCCGCCTCTTGCACTCCCTGGAGGACTCGTTGCACCCCGCTGTCGCCGCGCTCCTCCCCCTTTTGGATCCAACCCACGGCTCCCCACACGCGCTACCTGCACGCCTCGCCGCGGCTGAGGCAGCCCTGCCCCCCGAGGCTCTCGAGGTGCTCCAGGCCGGGAAGGCTGACCCCAAGGGACTGAAGCTGCAGCAGAACCTAGCACTGGCGGTTCACTCCCGCCGCTTCCTGAGAGTCATGCGCGAGGCGAGGCGGATGCGCCCCAACCCCCGCTCTGGCCATGCGCAACGGATGCAGTCGGTGCTGGGCCCAGGCGCGGGGGATTGGCTGCTGGCGATCCCGCTCACCCCCTCGCTCCGGATGGGCCCGTCCCAGCTCTCAACTGCAGCTGCCTTCCGCCTAGGCCTCCCCCTCCCAGTGCCTAGACGCTGTGACTGCCGCTACCGCACCACCTTCCCCGACGACCGCCTCCCCAACCACCTCATGCGCTGCGAGAAGGGGAAAGGGAGGACCGCAACCCACCACGCTCTGCGGGATGAGATAGCGAACATTGGGGCGGAGGCGGGGTTTACGGTTCACAAGGAGACGTATGTCTACTCACTGGTTGAAAACCTAAAGGCGGATGTCACCATCCGTCATCCCCTGACTGGTGAGGTTTGGATGTGCGACGTGACCGTGACGGACCCGGTGTCAAGGCAGGACGAGAACTGCAACCGAGCTCCTGGATGGGCGGCCAGGGCGGCAGCAGAGAAAAAGGAGGATAAGTACGCACGGCGGAACGCGTGGGTGGGGTTCCACGCGCTTGCAGTGGAAACTTATGGCTACCCCTCGCCGGGGGTGATGGCTTACCTGCGGCAGTGCGCAGAGCTGGCGGCAAAGCTGCGGTTTAACGCGGCTCCTACCTCCTACGAAGCAGCGAAGCTGCTGACGGAGTACCGCCAGCGCTGGAGCGTGTGCCTCCAGCGGGCGCAGGCCAACGCCCTCCGCACCAAGACCAACGAGGCCTTGGCGGCGGACTAGCTCGGCTTTAGAGGACCCATCATCCCTCTCAGTGAGGGACAGCTGCACCAGTTGATTGAGGCCCCGTTCGACCAGTAGGGTCGGACAGAGGGGGGGGGGGCTGAGTAGGTAGGAGACTTGAGGTAGTTCGGATCTCGGTTTGGATGTTTGTTGTGCTTGTGTGTTCTGCATCTTCCTTTGTACCACCCCTCATGGTAATGCAAGGACCATTCGAGAGAGAGAGAGAGAGAGAGAGAGAGAGGCATGGCAGCGTGCATTTGCAGTCCGGTGGCCAGAGGCACCTGATGGGTCCCACTTGTGCAGCGAAGGGCAGAGGAGCGAAAGCGAAGGGAAAAGAATGAGAATTTGCGGCAAAGAGACGACGAGGGCAGAAGAACGAAAAGGAGCAGGGGCAACAAGGGAGGGATGTGAGATGGAGAGAGGCGAGGTGGGGGAGGTGGGAAGCGGTTAGAAACATTCAAAAAGTGGGCAGTCAGGAGCAAGAGGAGAGGCCCAGGATGGATCCCTTAGCTCCCGCGTCTGCAGCAAGCGTTTTGAGTCGACTCGAAATCCGTGTGAAATTAGTCGTGTTTTGAATCAACTCAAAATCCGCGTGAAACTAGTCGTGCTTAAAAAAACTCACAACCTGCGTGGAATGAGTCGTGTTTTAAAACAACTCAAAATCCGCGTAAAATGAGTCGTGTTTTGAGTCGACTCAAAATACGAGTCAGAGGCAAGAGGGCCAGGAGGATGGATTCCTTAATTCCCGCATCTGCAGCACCTGCAGGTGCGCTGCACACCCCCACACCCTGCACACCCCCACACCCTGCACACCCCCACACCCTGCACACTCCCACACCCTGCACTCCCAAACCAAACCCTGCCCCTGCTCCGCCCTAACCCCCTCCCCCTGTTTCCTTCTAGACTAATTCAACCCACCTGCAGCGTGCATTTGGGCGTGTTCCATCTCTACACCTGAGCCCGCAACATCTGTCAGTACCTGCCCACCCATACCCCTTCCCTCCCACCCACAACCAACCTCCTCGATTCCCCACCGACTAACCCACCTGCAGCGCGCGCTTGGTGGTGCTTCCATTTCTTCTCCCGTGTCTGCAGCATCCACCAATACCCCCTGTCCATGCGCATCCCTTTCCCCCACCCATCCCCAAAAGTGTAACCCCCAGCCGTCTCCATTCCCCTCGCACCTGCAGCGTGCACTTGGGTGTGTTCCACTTCTTCTCCTGCATCTGCAGCATCTGCCAATGCCCCCTGTCTGTTATGTGCCCACCCATGCCCTCCCCCATCTTTCCTTCTTCCAGCTAATTCCCAGCCGCCTCCATTCCCCTCGCACCTGCAGCGCGCGCTTGGGTGTGTTCCATTTCTTCTCCTATGTCTGCAGCATCTGCCGATACCCTCGGTCCCCTGCCCACCCCCATACCTTTCCCCTCAACATTCTTAAATTCAACCCCCTCCATCTCCCACCAACCCACCTGCAGCGTGCGCTTGGGTGTGTTCCATTTCTTCTCCCGCGTCTGCAGCATTTGCCGGTACCCGCGGTCCCCACTGGGCGGCTGCATGTCAAACTTGTGCTCCACCTTGCCCTCCAGAGCAATGCGGCCTGTAAGGGATATGGCATGGCAGTGGGCAGAAGGACAGAAAGATGAGAGGGGGAAGGGCAGCAACAGGGAGTGCGCCTATCCATCTGCCTGTACCCCCGGTCCCCACTGGGCAACTGCATGTCGAACTTGTGCACCACCTTGCCCTCCAGAGCAATGCGGCCTGCCAGGGATAGATAGAGTGAGATGAAGGACCATTCGAGTAAGATGGCAGTAGGCAGGAAGAGAGAAAGTGAGGGTGGGAGTGCCTCCAGCCATCTAGCATCTGCCGGTACCCCCTGTCCCCACTGGGCGGCTGCCTGTGAAACCTCTGCTCCAATGCTGTGGGGATAGGGGGCACCTTGCCTTGCAATGCTATTGTGCGGCCTGGAGGACAGAGAGTTGAGGGGGAGAAGGCCAGCAACGGCAGCACAGCAGTGTGTGAGTGCCTCTAGCCATTTGCAGGATCTGCCGGTACCCCCTATCCCCACTGGGCGGCTGTCTGTAGAACTCTGCTCCACCTTGCCTTCCAATGCGATGCCGCCTGCGCGAGAGAACCATGAGTATGGAAAGAGCAGCAATGGCGACAGGACAGGACAGGACAGGACAGGGTGGGTTTGCATTGCACCTATCCGACTGCCAGTGCTCCTTATCTGAACCGGGCGGCTGCAGGGATTGTTTGACTCGCAGGAAGAGGAACACACGGGATTAAAATAAACTCACGCACCAAACACTGCACTCACCGCTGGCAGACTCGGAGAAGACGTGCATGGGCACGTGGTCGGGTGTGAATGCGAGGTTGTACTCCATTGGAAGCTCTGCTGCTGCCCCCTCTGGCACCTCCAGCCGCATCATGAACTGGGGGGGGGGGGGGAAAGGGGGGAAAGAAGGAAGGAGAGGTGGGGTTGGGGAAAGGGGGGAAAGAAGGAAGGAGAGGTGGGGTTGGGGAAAGGAGGGAAAGAAGGAAGGAGAGGTGGGAGAAATTTCCTACTCCTAGAAAAACCATCATAATCGGCTTGTATTTGCTCTTCCCTTATTAATAAATAACTGCTCTCGCCCACTGGCGCTTAGCTTCGGAGTTCTGATGGGGAAAGGAGAGCAGGGAGGGGAAAGGAGAGCAAGGAGTGCAGAGTGCTGCCCCTCCCTATCGGCGTGCCAATTCGAGGTTGTACTCTATCGGAAGCTCTGCTGCTGCCCCTTCTGGCACCTCCAGCCGCATCATGAAATGATTGGGTGGTGGTGTGTTGCGGCAAGAAGGGAGGAAGGAGAGGGGTGGGAGTGAGTGAAGAGGAGAGCATTCAAGGGGCCGGGCCGGCTGTGAATGCGAGGTCGTAGTCTATAGGAAGCTCTGCTGCTGCCCCCTCTGGCACCTCCAGCCGCATCATGAACTGATGGGGAGGAGGGGGGCGGGGCAGGAGTAGAATGGGGAGAGACGGGGGGTGCAGGGCAGCAGGGAGGGGAGGGGAGAGGAGAGTGCTGTGAATGCGAGGTTGTACTCTATCGGGAGCTCTGCTGCTGGCCCCTCTGGCACCTCCAGCCGCATCATGAACTGATGGGGAAGGGGAACGAAGGGGGGAGGGGGAAGCGGGAAAAGGAGTGAGAGAAGACGAGAGCAGGGAGGGCAGACAGACAGACAGACTGTTGTGACTCTGAGGATTCGCCTTAATGGAGTGGCGTGGCACCCCCTCGCTGACTTTTGAGTCGACTCAAAAGTCAGGGAGGGAGGGCAGACAGACAGACTGTTGTGAATGTGAAGATCGGATCTGACTTAATGGAGTGGCATTACCTCGTTATTGCCACATGGGTTACAGACATCCCTTCGCCAGTCACATAAGTAGTAACAGCCCCTCGCTATAGTCACCTTGGCAACAGCCCCTCATTATGGTCACCTCACCTGTGTGGCGGCCTGTCCACCCTGGGGACGAGCGCCGCGCGCAGGTCAAACGCCATGCGCACTCGCCCCACCACCCCCATTCCCCCCCTCCCCTGCTGCTCCTCCCCCTCCCCCGCCCCCGCTGCTCCCCCCCTGGTGACAGCCCCTGGTTATAGTCACCTGCGTGGCGGCCTGTCCGCCCTGGGGGCGAGCGCGCGGGTCAAACGCCATGCGCACGCGCCCCACCACGCCCACTCCCGCTCCCCCCGCTCCCCCCCCAGGTGGCGGAGGCGTGGAGGGGGCGCCCTGCGCCGTACCTCCTCCCCCTGCTGCCTCCCCCGCAGGCTTGTCGCCTGCCTTGTGCCACCTGTCCGCCACGAACTGGGGTACCTGCGGTGGGCGGAAGGGGGTGGAGTAAGAGGGCGGAACAGGGGCAGAGGGGAACACGGGGATTGGGGGGGCTGACTTGTCCCCTGCCTTGTGCCACCCGTCCGCCACGAACTGTGGTACCTGCTGTGCGGGGAAAGGGGGGAGGGGGGGGAGAGTGCGGAGAGAGGCAGGGAGAGAGGGAGCAATGAGGCAAGGGGATCAATGAGAGGGAGCAATGAGGCAAGGGGATCAATGAGAGGGAGCAATGAGGCAAGGGGATGGGAAGAACGAGGTTGGCTTGTCGACAGCCTTGAGCCATCTGCCCGCCACCAACTGTGGCACCTGCAGTGGGGGAGAAGGCAGTAGTAGGGGGTTGGGAGAAGGGGGATCAGGAGAGAACGAGCAATGGGGCAAGTGAGCAGAAGGAAGGTTGGCTCGTCCGCCGCCTTGTGCCACCTGTCCGCCACGAACTGTGGTACCTGCGGTGGGGGGGGGATTAGGGAGGAAGAGAGGGGGAGAGGGGGACGAGAGTGGAAAGAGAGCGATGGTGCACTTGGGAAGCGGGAAGGTTGGCCTGTCCTGCCACGGACTGTGGCACCTGCAGCGGGGGGAAACGGGGGGAGGGGGGAGAGTGCGGATCGATGAGACAAGGGAATAGGAAGAAGGTTGGCTTGTCGCTGGCCTTGGTAACTGCAGTGGGCGGGGGGGGGGGAAGAGGGGAGAAGGAGCGAGCGATAAGGCAAGCACACAAGAGAAGGCTACATTGCCCTAGAAGAGGAGCGGAGGGCGGGGGAAGAGGAGGGGAGTGCGGGGGAAGAGGAGGGGAGGGCGGGGGAAGAGGAGGGGAGGGCGGGGGGAGAGGAGGGGAGGGCGGGGGGAGAGGAGGGGAGGGCGGGGGGAGAGGAGGAGAGGGCGGGGGGAGAGGAGGGGAGGGCGGGGGGAGAGGAGGGGAGGGCGGGGGAAGAGGAGGGGAGGGCGGGGGGAGAGGAGGGGAGGGCGGGGGGAGAGGAGGGGAGGGCGGGGGGAGAGGAGGAGAGGGCGGGGGGAGAGGAGGGAGGGCGGGGGGAGAGGAGGGGAGGGCGGGGGGAGAGGAGGGGAGGGCGGGGGGAGAGGAGGGGAGGGCGGGGGGAGAGGAGGGGAGGGCGGGGGGAGAGGAGGGGAGGACGGGGGGAGAGGAGGGGAGGGCGGGGTGAGGGGAGGGGAGGGCGGGGGGAGAGGAGGGGAGGGCGGGGGGAGAGGAGGGGAGGGCGGGGGGAGAGGAGGGGAGGGCAGGGGAAGAGGAGGGGAGGGCGGGGGGAGAGGAGGGGAGGGCGGGGGGGGAGGAGGGGAGGGCGGGGGGAGAGGAGGGGAGGGCGGGGGGAGAGGAGGGGAGGGCGGGGAGAGAGGAGGGGAGGGCGGGGGGAGAGGAGGGGAGGGCGGGGGGAGAGGAGGGGAGGGCGGGGGGAGAGGAGGGGAGGGCGGGGGGAGAGGAGGGGAGAGGGAGGGAAAAAGAAGGGAGGGCAAGGGAAGAGGAAGAGAGAAGGGAGGAAGAGGAGAGGAAGGAATGAGAGGAAGAAAAGAGAGAGAGAGAGAGGAGGAAGAACATTCTTTCTCTCTTCTATTCTCTCCTCTTCTTCCTCCTCTCTCCCACCCTCCTCTTCCTCCCATATCTTCCTTCCCCTCCTCTTCCTCCCTCCTCTCTTTCTCTCTTCCTCTTCCCTTTCCCTCCCCTCTTTTTCCCTCCCTCTCCCCTTCTCTTCACCCGCCCTCCTCTCCTCTTCTTCCGCCCTCCCCTCCTCTTCCCCCGCCCTCACCTCCTCTTCCTCCGCCCTCCTCTCCTCGTCCCCCGCCCTCCTCTCCTCTTTTTCCACCCTCCTCTCCTCTTCCCCCGCTCTCCCCTCCTCTTCTTCCGCCCTCCTCTCCTCTTCCCCTCCTCTTCCTCCTCCCATCCTCTTCCTCCTCCCCTCCTCTTCCCCCGCGCACAAGAGTAAGAGGGGCAGAAGAGGGGGAAGAGGGGGAAGAGGGGGAAGAGGGGAAAGGGAAGAGGAAGAGTTTGGTTTGTCCCCCGCCTTGTGCCATCCGCCGCTACGAACTGTAGTGCCTGCCTGCAGTGGGGGGGAGGGGGGGAAGAAGGTGTGAAGGAGGTGAGGGGGGGTGTGTGTACGGGAGTGTTGGTAAAGGGGAAGGGGGGAGATGAGGGAGAGAGCGATGCGACAAGGGGGCAGGGGGAAGGTTGTGTCACCTGTCCGCCACAAAACGGGTTCACGATGTGCTTTGGTTTGTTGCCGGCGTTCTGTTCAGCCTCTTTCGCACCTTCATCAGCCACACGCCCTTCGCACCTTCATCAGCCACACGCCCTTCGCACCTTCATCAGCCACACGCCCTGATTGGCTCGCGACAAGTCCAGCTCGCCACCTCCGTCGCCGCCTTTCGCGCTCGCCATGATGCCGCCTTTTGGCAACTCGCCGACGCGCGCCGCTCTTTTACTCGCGTCCCTCCTTCAGCCGGTATTAGATGCCTAAAGTCGGGCCGTCCCTTCTTCCGCCTGTAACCGCGTCGCCCCTCCTCCCCCTTCCCCCTCTCAGCCAATTCGACTACCCCCTCTCACCCAATTCGACTACTATCTTATCCACACGAGCCCTCCGCTGAATCGTTGTCCTTCAAAATGTTCGTAATTCGCCTGGCACGAATGCTTTGTTTCTGTTTCCACTGCGAGGACTCAGATTAATTTTATAAGTAGTATTTCGGCTGGCATCTCGTTCGCCTTGCTCCGATCGGCACCCGTTCGGAAGACTCGCGGGTGCCGGTACCTGCGGGTTCCTCTCGCGCGTCGTAAACTTTCGAGGCGCCTCAAAAGTCCGAAGACTTGCAGGTGCCGGTGCTTGCGTTCCTCTCGCGCGTCGTAAAACGAACCAACGTACGTCCTGCTTCCACTTTAGGTCAGCACTAAGCAGGGATTGCGTGCCCGCTAGATGAGAATACCTAGTGAGACAGGTTGCCAAAAGTTGGCGAGGCGACAAGGAAGAAGATTTTACTCGTTATTAGCGGTCAGGTGATTGAACCGTTCGAGTGTAGCAATTTTGAAAGTCGAAGTGAAAAACGCTTACGCAACGGCTCGCGAAATAACAAACGCAGGAAGGACCCAAAATCTCGTCAACAATTCATTCCCCTTCAACACGCCCTCCAATTTGAGTTCACTCAAGAATTTCCCACCCTAGACTAACAGTCTAATCGCACGAGCTCGCGTGCTGATCGGGTCACAGACCCACCGTGCGACGGCCATCGCTACCCCCAGCCATGCCGAAGGTCGATCGCGGTGAAGTTGTCACATGCCCGCCTGTGTGACTGCTCACGGACGACGAGCTAGGGCTACTCAAAGGTACACCTATCACCGATCGAATCATCGCGCTGATCGCGTGGCAATATCACCGATCGAATCATCGCGCTGATCACGTGGCAATTCTTTGCGTGGCTAGCTCTTTCGAAAGTCCTTTCGCCTCGCCGCTCTCGCCCATCTCGCTCCCGCGACTCTCGCTACGCGCCTCGCGTCTCTCACCTCTCGCCAGGCCCCACTAGTCTCACCCTTCCCTGGACGAAATGTCGGGCTGTATTCAACGTTCGTGCATTTTCGCCAATCGAGCCGTGTCCTTTCTGTAACACCCCAAGCTATTATAATGGTGATTACAAGGCTTTATAGTAACATTCCAATACAAGTTGAAGCCTTAACTAGCTCCCAAAAGCCTTGGAGGTGTCAATCTTCTTGAAGGAGGTGTCAATTATAATAAATATATTATAATTGTGTAGGAAGGCTTGTGAGAGAGCCCAAAATGACTTAGAGAAATAATCCCATTCCCATCTTGATTAGTTGGAGTGGGAGGTTGAGAATGAGCTTGGTAGCTCAAACCCCTTCAATACATCCCTTGGGGAACTCTCCCAACCATGGATTCCATGGTGGGATGGTTCCTAGGCTAGCAGCCTATGTGGCAATTAGGTTGGGTTGGAAAACCTAACTTTGCACCATTGTATGGTTGCATTTTTGATTGAGTAGATTTTAACATTGAATTGGCAGTTTCAGATTTGTTGGAATTCCAATCCTTGGATTTCACTTTCATGGGTTGGAATGTTCCAAGCCTCAATGTTGAGGTTTGGGAAAACCTAACCAACCCTTCCTTCCCAACCCCAACTACAATCTCCCGCAACACAACCTTCATCGAGCTCAATCTCGATGGTTGCCTTAGGAGTGAGGTAGGTCGATAGGTAGGAGTAGGGAATGCGTTACACTTCCCTTCCTCCCTTCACCCCTTAGACTGGTATCTCTCGGGCAGAATAAAGGCGCCGCAGCAGGAGCCTCGGCAGGACCCCGAGCCGGAGCGTCCGGTTCCTCGCAGTCCGAGGTGGTTAGGTTCGGCGATGTAACGCATTGCCCTAACTAAGCTAACTAACCAACTTCCCTCTAGGCAAATGTCGAGAGTTTTCTCGACAAAGAGGGACTTGGAGAAGAAGGTTGGCTTTGGTTAGGATGGAAGGGTTGGTTTGGTTTTCCAAACCTCAACCAAGAGGATTGGGAAACTCCAACCCATCAAAGTGAAATCACAAAGGTTGGAATTCCAACCAATCAGAAACTGCCAAACAATTGTTACAATCTACTCTATCCTAAACACAACCATTGAAAAGTTCTAAGTTGGGTTTTCCAACCCAACACAAGTGCCACATAGGCTCCAAGCCTAGGAACCATCCCACCATGGAAACCATGGTTGGGATAGTTCCCCAAGGGGTGTATTGAGGGGGTCTGAGCTAAGAAAGCTCATTCTCAACCTCCCACTCCAACTAAACAATTGGAAATGAGATTATTTGGCTAAGTTCTTTTGGCTCTCTCACAAGCTTCCCTACACTACTACTCCAAGTGTTTTCCATCAAAGGCACCAAGAAGATCTTCATCTCCAAGGCTATCAAGGCTAGTTAGAGCTACTATTTTGTATTGGAATATTATAAAAGCCTTGTAACCGCCATTATAATAGCCTTGGGCATTACAGGCGAAGCGGATAAGGGACGTTCAGCAGCGTGCTCGTCGGCGTGTGTGGCAGTAGACGAGCGATCGTCGGTGAATGAGTGCGGGCGAGGGATCTAGGTTGAAGGGTTTAAACGGCCGAAGGGCTTAATGCCGGTTCTAACAGTCGTCTAAGTCCGGTGTGAGCTGTCGTGGACGAGAAGTTAGGATAGTCTTGTGTGGAGCGTACAGCATCGGGGTTTAAGCTCTTTTCAAAGCACTTGTTTTGGCACTGGCTTGAGTGGGAAAGCAAGTGGTTCTGAAGCATCAAGCAGGTGTGACAGGATGTACCATCGCTCAGGGGTTTCGGGTATTACGATCTGTTGGAGCAGCTTTTCCCTCCACCCTCTCTCCCACCCCTTTAATTCAGAGAGCAGTCAGATCTTCTTCAGTTGATCGGCGTTCTCCAATATTATGTTACTCTATTTGAATTCTGGTCATTAGATGATGAATTGGCAGATTGTGGCAGATTGTTCATTTTCTTTCCTTCCGTTTCTTCTTCTGTGTGGATTGGCAGATTGTGGCAGTCGGCCGCAAGCATGGCATGATGGGTTCGGGATTCCAGGGTGGGCATGACATGGCAGGTTAAGGGTTCAGGGTTCTAGGGGAGGCAGGGCAGGGCTGGTCGAAGGTCTTCTTTCCATCCCTCAATGTGCGGTTGGCAGGTTGTGGCAGGGCCGGACTGGCAGATTGTGGCGGATGGCATGCTGGGTTGGGGGTTGTAGAAAAGGCATGACAGATCAACGTGGGGCTTTAGGGAATGCTGAGCAGGGAAGATTTTTGGGGTTGAGGGCAAGCTTGGCATTTGCATGCATTACTGCTCGAGGGGATGCACTGTCAAGGAGAAAAGGCCCCGCCCTCGTTTGGGCAAAGTCGGCCATGCTTTTCGGAGCACAACGGTGTTCGTTTCGTGGTCATCGGCGACTTCAGGGACTTTTATCTCTGAACGACGGGTCGATTTTCGAGAAGATTAAGTCGTCGAAATTGAAGTGTTGTTTCTGCTCTACGCAACTACCCGTCGACAAGGTACTTGTCGAGGGGAGCAAATCGGCGTCGAAATCGAGCCTTGCAGGTCGACGGAATTGGAGAACACAGCGTTTCGACGAAACGCTGGTCGACGGAAGTAAGCTCGAAAAAGGCATCGTCGAGCAGAGCGATTCCGATCGACCAAAATCACTTGTCTCCAAAACTTGCAATGTGCGCGAATTTCGACCAACCGCGAAACAGCAAATTTCGACCAATCAGAGCATTTCGGAAATTGTACTCCCCAGGAGATTTCGAATCAGTAAGGAAACTGAACCTGAAACACGTTTTTACTAACAGTAAAAACGTAAACAACTCTGAACGTTGGAAACCTGAGAAGCTGCCAACTCAGGAGAAAGACACAAGTGCTTGTCGTTTCACCTGGCGTTGCTGACTCGGAAAGGTCGAGCGTTTGTCGAGAACGTTTCTCCAGGGTTCATTGTGCTTGCTATTTGGGATCTCTTTCCTTGTACCATAATCTTGTTCTATCAATTTTTCTTAGTGAAACTATGCTCGAATTCTACTAAGTCATTCAA